TCTGGTGTGGTGAACCCCTTGTTTCTGGTTCTGATCAGGTTCTGTTGTTTTCCTGAGATCGGATCAATAATTCAGGAAGCTGCTTTCCTCCCGGCTCCTTCTGGCTCTCAGGGTTTTGGCATCTTGCCGGCTTTCTGGAGACAGATGGTGAAACGGCTGGGAATCAAACACCGACTGTCCTCCTCTTGCTCCTCCTCCTCCTCTTCTTCATCTGCATGACAGACAAACGGATGAAACCTGGAGACGGATCTTCTGCTGCCAGATCAGAGTCAGGAGATGTTTCGTATTTGGTTCCGGTCCAGGCCCGGTGCCAGCCTATAGCGGCCCCCCACCGCCTCCCCACCCTTCACTGTCTCATGGCAACGATCACGTTGATGTTTTGGGTTTCAGCTCCTCTTCCTCCAGGCAGTTTTGTTGGGAGTCACACAGACCCGGTTGGGTTGACTGAACCGGTCTGGACCCTCGTTAAGTCCTGATGAAGGTTTTGGATCTGGAATGGTTCTGTTTCCATTCTAGTTCTGCACTGGTTCTGGTTCTGGTTGTGTTCTCAGGCTGCAGTTCCTCCCCTCCGCCTGCAGATGGCGTGTCAAGCTGCCATTCATCACGGCTCCTGGCCCCAGCTCAGGTTTTTCTGCTGAACGATCCCAGGTTGTTCCAGGTTACTCCAGGTTGCTCCAGGTTGTTCCAGGTTTGAAGTTGATGGACTGTTGCAGTTTTTACATGTGTTTGATGATTCCCAACTGAAGAGTCTCACGTTTGGTTTGTTAGCCATTAGCATATTTTGCTAGTTAGATTTTCTAACAATAAACTCAAGAACAGTTTATGAAAAGCTAAAATATAAGTAATGTAGCATTGAAGCTAGCAACAGTTTGAAAGATGGAAGACTATTACCATTATTCTTATTATTATCATCATTATGGTTATGATTATCAGTATTACAGGAATGCCCACTGCTACACACAGGAGTTTATTTCCTATGACGAGCTGACAGTAAAACGTTTACAATAAATATTGTTTGATAATGCCTTAACATAAGCCTGAAAATGAAAATACAGTTAGAGAAGTTATTATTTTTCAAGTAGTTGCTGTTTACACTGTTCCAGTTTTATTTATTCAAGGAAATATTGATAAATACCAGACTTAGCCTGTTCTGGGATCCATTGGTACCTCGTTCCTCCACCAGGGGGCTCAGGCCGAACCCAGAGGAACCTGCAGCAGGAACCGGTTCTACTCAGCACTATGGACCTGAACCACGACGGGATCTGCTGCTTCTGGTTCTGATGGTTCAAGTTCTGGTTAGAAATCAGGTCAAGTTCTGAGGATTCACCGAACCTTCAGCTCACGGAGTTCCGATCGGTCCTGATCGCCTGAAGATTCTGTCCAATCAGAGCAAAGCTGAGCTGCTGAGATGTATCTGTCTGGACCAACCAGAGCACAGAGTGTGTTCTGGTGCTGGTTCCTCAGAACCCGCAGGCTGCTTTGGAACAGAACCAGTGAAAGCGGTTCTTGATCCACAGCGGAATGGTTCTGGTACCGGACTAATGAAAGGTCCAGTTCTGATGGCCCACATGGGCTCTAGATGGGTTCTGATGTGGTTCTGCAGCTACCGGGTTCAGTCCAATTGGGACCAATAAAAATGTGGGTCGGTCGTTCAACTTCTAACCTGGACAGTTGTGGAACAAGCTCCGCCCCCAAAACACCTGACGGTGCTGAGCCCGCTATCATCATCATCATCATCATCATCATCATCATCATCATCATCATCATCATCAGGAAGAAGTTTGGTGACTTCAGTAACTTCTTCTGCGGTTCTGACCCGGTTCTCCTCCGGTATTCCACATCCTGTTCCTCTCTGCTCCGAAAGGAGGGGGGAGGCCACTAGTGGCGCTCTCGTGCAAGCGCGCGCGCGCACCCAGCAGCAGTATACTTGTGAAAGTGCGCGCGGAGGATCGATGCTGTTATTTGTGATCGATCAGCGGCGCGTGTGATCAGTCTGTGGCCGCACACGGAGCGACGCAGTCCGGCGGAGGAGCAGCGGAGGAGCCGGTGTTCGGAGCTGGAGGAGTTCGGGACAGTCTCTCGGCTCCCGGGTCGTCCCGCCGCCTCTCCCCGCTCCTGGCAGCGCTCGTCCCGGGAAAGACTCCGTTGCTGCACCGTTCTCTTTCTCCGGAGCGCAGGGGAGCCGCACGCCGGCCGCGGCGCACCGCAGAGCGGTCAGGGATGCCGGCGGGGGGCGCTTCTGGACGCCGTTCTTGGGTTCTGTGAAATGCAGCTCGGGACCGGTTTGGATCTTTGTTCCGTCCGTCGGAACCTCCTGAGGTCCTCGCTGCTGCTCTGACCGGACTTGTGCGGTGTCGCCGGAGATGCGGTTGGATTGTGGGCGGAAAGTTGTGCGCTCCCCGGCGGAGGGCCTCCACAGGTCCGGACCGTGACCCGGGGCGGGTCCGAAGTTCAGCTGTGCCCGAAATGTGAAGCGAAGCGGGCAGAAGGAGGGCTCCGTTTCTCCCTCACTCACTCTCACACACACTTTCTTTTTCGCTCTTCACACACGCAGACCAACACACACACTGGAGTTACAGTAACACCCCACACACACACACACACACGTGCGCGCACGCGCGCGGTCGCACACACCTTCCGGAGCTCACAGCCCAGCGGACAGATATGTATTCTCCGCTATGTCTGACGCAGGTGAGTCCCTTTACCCCCGGCTCTCTGCCAGCGGCGCGGCGCGGCGCGGCGCGGCGCTCCGGCTGGCTGCGGCTGCGCGCTGCCGGAGCGCCAAACTTCCTCCGGTCCACATTTACCAGGTCTGGCAGCTATGTGTTCCGGTTCGGTTCGGCTCTGTGGCGACCGACGCAGTTACCCGGGAAGCTTTATCAGACTCACGGCTGTAATTGGACTGAGAAACGTCTGATCGGAACCAGAACCGGCGGGTTTTTTTCTCTTTTCTTAGCTCTTAAACTTTGCAGCTGTGCCGCGCAGGAAGCGGGAGAAGCGGCCGGTTTTCCGGTCCTGATTCCGGCCGTGTTTCTGTCACCCGTGGGCGTCTGAGCGAGAAGCCCGGTTTTCCTCATGAAGAACTGCCTTCCTGCGGCTGTTCGGTCCGGAACCGAACCTGCGGCCTGCAGCAGAACTCCAGGAACCGGAGGTGATCTGAGGTGACTCCGCCGACCGGACCGACCGGACCGGATGACTCCTGGTTTCTTCCTAAATTTAAACCTCATAAACACCTAAAGTCCTGCTGCAACCTGCAGGGTTGCGTTCAGGGTCAGAGGTTAAAATCAGCATTTAGAGTCTCCCTTCGTGTTTCTGAGGGAAACGGGGACAGCCGGGATTAAATCCTCAGAACAAATTGGGCTGATTTTATTTTTATTCCTGCATCAGACACAAATATTTAAATTGATCCGTTTCTGTGAAATCCTTTTTAATCTGAGCAAAGGCTTTAATAAATCACATTTAGATTAAATCCCAGAGCTGAATAATTACTGGCTGTGTTGCTAAATCTGAAGGGATGAGATTTATTGATAATTCAGGAATATTTGAATGAAATCTGCTGTTTTCTAAGGAGAACCTTTTGTTGCTCTGATCCGCTGGATGTTCCTGCAGGAACGCTGCTAAATCTGGAGCTTCACTGTGTTTGAAGTTGGTCTGAAGCTGCAGCAGCAAACCGTGGCGCTAATCAGATTATCAGCCTGTTAAACCAATAATCAGCAGCCTGACTGACTGACTGCTGGTTCTAATCCCGCTCAGCTGCCCTCACAAACACTTGATTCACTCTTTGATTGTAACTGCTGCAATGTTTAGAAAAAAAGATTTTCTCCAAATGTTGAAATTGTTAATTGGGCCTTTTCTTTTTTTATTGAGATGACATTAGCAGTTTCTGCCCAGCCACTAGGGGGCATGTTTTGCGATATCGCCTGTTAAATTCAATACATTTCTGAACAATGTTTGTCCATTTAATTCTGATATATGTGGAAATTATTAAGGAATAAATCGAGCAGAAATATAAATAGTATTACTGAATTCAAGAGCTTTAATTTTGTTTAACATTTTAAATATTTAGTTTGGTTTTTTTACACCAGTAGTTTGGATATTTTTGTGGCTGATTTCATTTACAACAGAAAACAAAATATAATAAAATAAATATATTTATCTTCTTTACATTGAGGTGTATCAACAGCATAGAAGAAAACAATTAACAATAAAACAAAATCAAGAATAATTTACTGTGCAGTAAAGGCAAAGTTATGAGTTTAAATCCAGGAGGTTCTGCTGCTGGTCCTGGTTCTGGTTCTGAAGTTGGACAAAGATCTAAACCTGCAGATTTAATGCCTGAATGGATTTCAGTTTTGGACGTTCTGGAGGCCCAGACTGCTCAGCAATCCACTGGAAGCCGGGAACCGCCGGAGCGCAAACCTGGATGCAGCAGGGGCCACAGCGGGCCTCTGCCCCCCTGTCGCCCCCGTGGCCCCTGCTGCCCCCCTGGTGCTCTGCTCCCCTCGGTGTGAGAGGCAACGCAGTGCGGGGAGTGGATTTATGTTTCTGGGCCAGTTGTTCTTCTTTCCACGGTGCCAACAGAAACCTGCCCGGGCCCCCGCTGCCCCCCGTGGCCCTCCAGGCCCCCGCTGCCCCCCGTGGCCCTCCAGGCCCCCGCTGCCCCCCGTGGCCCTGGAGGATGAAGGGAAAACTGCCTTTGGTTTCCAGCTGTTTGATCAGAATGCCCACATTTTATTCCCAGAAGCAGCATCCGGGCCGGAGCAACCGGAGTGGGATTTTAGGACCTGGAATAATGAGAAAAATCTGCCCGGATCATAATCTGGGAAAATCATTTTTCTGAAGGAGTTTTTTCCCCTATTTTTGGAAGGATTTAAAAAATATTTCCTTCTTCTGCAGATTTAATTGAAAGAAGTGAGTGTTAAAAAAATTATTAGAAATATTTAAAGACATTTCTAAATTTGGAAATAATTTTCCTGTTTTCCTTCAGTTGATTTTCCAGAAAATGTAATTGGATTTTCCTTCCCAGATCAGAATGACTGAATCATCTGAAAGGAACGAGTCAGTGAGGAAATGTAAAATTTTCCAGAAATGGCATCTTCTTCCCGAAATTTGGGAAAACGTTCCCGAGGATGTTGGGATCATCTCCCCCGCTGGCAGGAAAAGCTGCTTTTGAGGCCGGACAGACTCGTTAAGTGGGATTTGGTTTGCGGCAGACAGACAGAGTGTGAACAGAGCAGGTCAGGAATGTGGGAATGCGGCGGCGGAGCCCAGCTCATCTCGGCCGCCCCCGGACTCTAACGCTGAGCAGGAGCGCCGGCGTTCCGGGCCGTCCGGCACGAAGAGCTCAGAGAGAAGCTGCTGAGCTGCTGGAGGCTCTTTTGGAGACAAACCCGTTCTCCTGGAGCGGATCCAAGAAGGAACAAAGATCCGTATTCAGACCCGGAGCGGGGGGGGGTGCAGCTCTGCAGCTGGCGCTCCAACGCAGAGCTGCAACACTCACGCTCAACATCCGGCCTTTGTTTCTGGAAATCTAACCTGATCCTGGAGTAGAACCTGCAAAACAGACTCCTGATTCTGAGGGAAACCATTTGGCTTCCTGGTTCTGCAGAGAGACTGAATTCATCAGAAATCTGAAATACATTTCCAGAGATGTGATGGAAAAACATCCATGATGCAGCCAGACACTGGGGCCCACACGGCGTTCTGGCGACATTACATCTGTTCTGTTGTTTAACACAACTGGATGGATGAACGGTTGGACGGAAACAGCTGCTCTTCTTGCTCTCTCCGCCCGTCCAATCAGCGGGCAGCGTTACTGCAGCCAATGGCAGCAGCCGGCCGTGTCTCGCAGTGTCTCTCTCTGTCTCACCGTGTGTCTATCTGTCTCTGTCTGTCTCCAGGATGAGTTCCATCCGTTCATCGAGGCGCTGCTCCCCCACGTCCGGGCCTTCGCCTACACCTGGTTCAACCTGCAGGCGCGCAAGAGGAAGTACTTCAAGAAGCACGAGAAACGCATGTCGAAGGAGGAGGAGCGCGCGGTGAAGGACGAGCTGCTGGGCGAGAAGCCCGAGGTGAAGCAGAAGTGGGCATCTCGCCTGCTGGCCAAGCTGCGCAAGGACATCCGGCCCGAGTTCCGGGAGGACTTTGTGCTGACGGTGACGGGCAAGAAGGCGCCATGCTGCGTGCTGTCCAACCCGGACCAGAAGGGCAAAATGCGGCGCATTGACTGTCTGCGGCAGGCCGACAAAGTGTGGCGCCTGGACCTGGTGATGGTCATCCTGTTCAAGGGAATCCCGCTGGAGAGCACGGACGGCGAGCGGCTTGTCAAGGCGCCGCAGTGCGCCAACCCCGGCCTATGCGTCCAGCCGCACCACATCGGCGTCTCCGTCAAGGAGCTTGACCTCTACCTGGCCTACTTCGTGCACTCAGGTGGGTCCCTACTGCTGGAGGTTCTGATGGTGAGCAGGTTCCTGGTTCTGATGGGTCAAGATCCCTGGTTCTGATGATGAGGTCTGCTTGAGCGATTCTAGATCTTCAGACCATTTGTCTGCTGCAGAAACTGGAAGTGTCAGGTGCAGCTTCTCAAATAAAACTCTCTTGCAGAAAAAGGTTAGGGGTCAGAAGTCATCCTCTCATCCTGGCTGCCACTTTAGAGACACAATGAGAGGTCAGAGGTCAGCATGTAGTGGGCCTGACCCTCCCTCACCCATCTGTCTCACTGTGTTCATCTGCTGCTGAAAGTAGTTCCTGATAGGCTCAGCATACCTGCTGCAGGTGTGTGTGTGTGTGTGTGTGTGTGTGTGTGTGTGTGTGTGTGTGTGTGTGTGTGTGTGTGTGTGTGTGTGTGTGTGTGTGTGTGTGTGTGTGTGTGTGTGTGTGAGCTCTGAGCTCTTAACCAGATTTGAAGCTTCATTTCTGGACTAATTACCGAAGTCCTGACTGACCTGCAGACCCACACCTGAACTCTGCTTCACCTGCTGACACACCCAAGCACACACACACACACACACACACACACACACACACACACACACACACACACACACACACACACACACACACGCACTCTCACACACACACCCACACACACACACACACACACACACACACACTAAGAGATCCTTTTAATCATAGTGGCCTATCAGAACCCCTTTGATTTTGTCAATGAGAATATTGATTTTATTTAATTTCTTCATGTTTTATGAATTTTTGAGAGTATTTAAGATTTTTTTATTTTTTGTTTGTTTTAAATATGATTGTTTTATTTTGTAAAATATTTAAATAAAAACTAAATATTGAAATTTTACAGTTTTTATTTTACATTAGTTTAATTTTATAAATTTAATTTTAATTAGTCATTTTATCTATATTAATTTTTTTGAACACACTAAAGGAAACACTAATTTCCATGGACTGCTCTGTGTGTGTGTGAGTGCGTGTGTGTGTGTGTGTGTGTGTGTGTGCGTGTGTGTGTGTGTGTGTGCGTGTGTGTGTGTGCGTGTGTGTGTGTGTGTGTGTGTGTGTGTGTGTGTGTGTGTGTGTGTGTGTGCGTGTGTGTGTGCGTGTGTGTGTGTGTGTGTGCGTGCGTGTGTGTGTGTGTGTGTGTGTGTGTGTGTGTGTGTGTGTGTGTGTGCGTGTGTGCGTGTGTGTGTGTGTGTGTGTGTGTGTGTGTGTGTGTTGTGTGTGTGCGTGTGTGTGTGTGTGTGTGTGCGTGCGTGTGTGTGTGTGTGTGCGTGTGTGTGCGTGTGTGTGTGTGTGTGTGTGTGATTGTATAAAGGGCATCTAGAGGACCACTTCCCAATATTTACCGATAATGGAGGTCGTTAGTGGAAGAGAGGACATTTTTGCAGTCTTCACTTCTTCTGCAGTTATTCTGGCATTACTTGTCAAGTTCTGGTTAAGGTTGGAGTGAGCAATGAATAGAGTGACTAAAATTGATAAAAGTCTATTCAAAGTGCTCAGTTGCATAGAAGTACAAGTATGTTCTCTTTAGGTCAGACCAGCCACTGAGAACCACAACCAGATTTATTTTGGTGACATTTTATCATTTCAATTCTTCTTTATGAACAACTCTTCTAATATTATTATTGTTTTCTTATCTTATAATTTTTTCTATTTAATTTCTTTTTTTATATTTTGATCAAATTTTTAACTGAAGCTACATCAGATTTTGCAGTTTTTTGCCTCTTATACTGCCTTTTACAAAAGAACAAAAACATTTTTTTAGGTGATCTATCAAATTAAAAACTACACATTTAAATCTCTTTTTATTAGTTTAATTTTAATAAGTCCAACAAAATAATTTTATTTATATTGATCTTTTTTTTCAATAAAAATGTTCATTTCCGTAGGGTGTAATATTTATAACTGTGTGAACCAGATTCTTTTGTCTTTGTGTTTTAAATGGACTGCATATAGACAAACACTTTCAGTACATTTACCCACAAAGTGAGGTAATGTTTCTGGTCCTCACTTTTTCAGTTCTGATAGTTCGATTAGTGGTGTGGAATACGTTTTGGCTGGAACCTCTTCACCCTGACCCAACCCCATGACCTCAAACACATTTTATTTCTGTCAGACTCTGGCTGGGTCCTGGTTCTGATGCTCAGCCTGGTCCATTTTCTCTCCCCTGGCTCCTCTTACTGAGAACCCTGGACACAGAACCAGCAGGGGGTGCAATACAGTGATGCATGCTGGGTAATGTAGTGTGGCTGCGCTCCTAAAAGCAGAGCTTCTCTCCTGAAGGGATTGGATGGTGTCCCTGAATGGCCTGAAGCCAGAAAACTGCGCACACACACAGAGTGACACACACATATGGAGCATCCATATTTGTGTTGCCAAGTGCTGCTGATCCAGATGTTTCCAAGGAGATGCTGCAGCGAGGGTTAGGGTTAGGGAACAGGGAACAAACCAGGTCTGGGTCTGGTTCTGGTTCTTTATTCCATTTTTCTGTTCATAAATTAAAGAACTGATATTCTTTAACTTTTAGTTTGTTTCTTCCAAATGTTTGATCATAATAAAAACAAATGAACAACAAAAGAAGTTTACCCTCTGGTGCATAGCGGCCACTACAGTGGACAGCTGTTTGGAAGGCATTATTTCCTAAGTGGAGTTGTTTCTATGGTGGAATTGCATATCAGTCCTTAGAATGCTCTCTACTGCCCCCTCCACTGAGGTCAATTCAGTGGCAATGTGTTGTAATTACAAGTTAATGTCATCGGAGTCCAAGTTGGACAGACACACTCGATGACCACTCCAGGAATATCCTCTCAAACCTTCTATTCTCAGAGAATCCTAGAGGTAAAAAATATGCTGACATGCAGGAGTATCTAGGTAACAATATTATAAACTTAGTTTGGAAAAAAAATTTCATGTAAGTAGAAAATTGCGATTAATCATGTGTTCATCACAGTGACATCATGCATTGCTGACTATATTTTTTAACATAAGTCATGTAGTTGATTTATCTTTCATTATCACTGGTTTGCATGCAGTTAAATTCATTTTGAGTATATCTATGTTAGTTTTAAAAATATAATTTTTTATGCAGATCAATTGTAGTTTGTGTTAGTAAATGATAATTTTCTCAAACTTTTAGAGCACAAGTGCAGCAAAGAATAAGGATTACTAAAGAATAGTCGAGGAAATTTCCTCTGATGATGAGTGAAATGACAGCAGTGATGAGGAGTGGCTGCCAGGGAACACTACAGATATTGGAGATATGGATGATGAAGGACAGGATGCAAAGGGACGTCAGCAAGATGAGGGATCTGAGGAAAATGTCCACATGGTACATGCTCAGAGAAAAGTTCACAAGGGCAATGCCTGCACTCAACCCCACAAATATGTCTGGAAAGTCTAAGACAATAACTTTGATGGAGACTTGCTACCTTTTCTAGCAGAAAGAAGAGTAAATGTTGATGGAAGAGAACCAATTGATTTCTTTAGGTATTTGTTTCCCTTGGATCTCATTGATCAGATCGTGAAGACCAAACACATCTGCATGCAGTGCCATGTGCCCCGGATGCTTTGCCAATTTTCATGTAGCCGAGGAGTGAGGAAAATGAGTTGGGAGAGTAGTTAGAAAAGGATTCCTGTTTGATGAAGATTGTTCTCTTGGTTTGGATTAACTGAAGGGCTATAGCATGTTAGAGTGTATGAAACCTGTTCAAGTGCTTTTCAAAGCCCACAATGAAATATGTGGTCATGGATTCATGATAAAACTCAGATGAAATTATTCTTCAGTTAAGTTCAGAGTGTTCAGTGTTGAGCGCTGAAGCGCTTGCAGTCCACTGTAGTGGACATTTCTGTAACTTCCTGGAAAAATACAATTTTTCAAAAAAGAGTTCATATTTGTTTTTTTCATGCCCTAAGAAGAGTATAAAGACATTTAAAACAAATCCTGACCCAAGGATTCATAATTCATGCATCAGATTAACTGACCTTCAGGTGAATGCATTATTTTATCTCTTCCTATTTATTAGGATTTTACATTCATTTTATTATTAGTTATCTTCTTAAAATGGGTCGGTCCAGAACCAGCTGAGTGTCGGTTCTGCTGGGTCCAGGAGGGAGAAACCATCTGTGGATATAAACACGAAACCATGCCGAGGTTTTGATTCTGGCCCAATTTGCCTGGTACTGGTTTCATGAGGAGGAACCGGGTTCTGTTCCTTCCTGGTGCCAGTTCTGGATGGTTTGGATCCCCAGCTATTTGGTCTGTTGGTTCTATTTGGTTTTGTTTGATCTTTTGATCCCTTTGGGTCTGTTGGTTCTGTTTGGGTCTGTTGGTTCTGTCTGCTCTGTTTAGTTCTGTTGGTTCTTCAGACCCAAACTGTTTGTTGGACAAACTGGAAAGTGTCAGAGATCAGAAAGTCCATATGAGTATGGTCCTGTGAACCGGGTCGGCAGTGGATGATTTCATCGGTTTTGAGTGCTCTGACAGTTGTCCTTCAGGGTTCTGGTGTTGGCTCGGTGCCGGTCCTGACTACGACTCTGTCCTGGCCCCAGAAGCAGCGAAGCGGTTCTAGAGCTGACAGCTGCTGAACAAGGAGTGATGAGCTGCTGACTGGATGGAACCGGACCGGTTCTGCTGGGAAATAAAGTGGGTCGAGCCTAGCAAGACCCCCATCTCACCCTGGGTCTGGTTTCTTATCCAGCCTAGTCTGGCTGCTCCGTTTCCATGGAAATAGAAGTGATACTGTGACATCACTTCCTCTTCCTCAAGCTGCACCAGAGATCGGACCAGAACCGGTCCAGATCATGTTCCTTTGCAGAAGTGGATCAGCAGAACCCATCCTGCTAGCAGAGCAGAGCAGAGAGCTGCAGCTTCTGCTGGAGCTGCTTCCTCTTCCTCAGACGGTCCAGCACAAAAAATATGCACAAGTCTGTATTTATAAAAATGAACTTTGCATCAGTTTGTGTAAATA